TAGAAATGACATAGTGAAAACAAGGGCTAGTATCTTGAGTACATATCCAGGTTCCAAGGTAGATTTGCACAACCTATGCTGCTGTGGCTTCACTGATATTGTTATTCAAACTAGCTAGATTCAAGCTAATTTAGGTATTTTTTAAAAAAAACAATCTTCCCCACAAACGGACTTTACTAAAGTAAGACAGGAGATCTACATTACACACTTCACTTCTCTACAGAGGAAAAAGGACTGTAAGCTGTCTAAAATCATACCTGCCACATGGGGCCACGACAGTGGTACCCCTAACTCACCCAACAATATTGTCAATCTTTCCAATTATACACTCAGCCCGGCAGAAGAGTCTGTCCTGTCTAAGGGACTCTCTTTTTGCCCCACCACCCCCACTAACATGATACAGTTCTGCGGTGATCTGGAAGCCTACTTTCGCTGTTTCCATCTCAAGGAATACTTCCAACACAACACTGAACAGCGCACTGACACACAGATACCTTCCCACCAACAGCACAAGAAGAACTTCTCCACATGGACTCCTCCTGAGGGTCTAAATGACAGTCTGGACCTCTATACAGAATGCTTCCGCTGACGTGCACAGGAAGAAATTGTGGAAAAACAGCATCGCTTGCCTTATAACCTGTCGTGCAGAACGCAATGCCATCCACAGCCTCCGGAACAACTCTGACATTATAATCAAAGAGGCTGATAAAGGAGGTGCTGTTGTCATCATGAGCAGGCCTGACTACCAAAAGGAGGCTGCCAGACAACTCTCCAATACCAAATTCTATAGCCACTTTCCTCAGATCCCACTGAGGAATACACTAAGAAACTACACCATCTGCCCAGGACACTCCCCACAGAAGCACAGGAACAAATCAACACACCCTTAGAGCCCCAACCAGAGTTGTTCTATCTATTACCCAAGATCCACAAAACTGGAAATCCTGGACGCCCCATCATCTCGGGCATTGGCATTCTCACTGAAGGACTGTCTGGATATGTGGACTCTCTACTCAGACCTTACGCCACCAGCACTCCCAGTTACCTCTGTGACACTACTGATTTCCTGAGAAAACTACTATGCATTGGTGATCTTCCAGAAAACACTATCCTAGCCACCATGGATGTAGAGGCTCTCTACACAAACATCCCACACGTAGATGGAATACAAGCTGTCAGGAACAGTATCCCTGATGATGCGACAGCACAACTGTGTGACTTTATCCTCACACACAACTATTTCAGATTTGGTGACAATATATACCTCCAGACCAGTGACACTGCTATGGGTACCTACACGGCCCCACAATACGCCAACATTTTTATGACTAACCTGGAACAACACTTCCTCAGCTCTCATCCACTTATGCCCCTTCTCTACCTACGCTACATCGATGAGATCTTCATCATCTGGACCCATGGGAAGGAGACTCTGGAAGAATTCCGCCATGATTTCAACAGCTTCCACCCCATCATCCACACAAGACCAGTCTACACAGGAGAGCCACTTCTTGGACACCAAGGTGCAAATAAGCCTGGACCAATCTACACAAGAGATCCAGTTCCTGGACGCCACGGTGCAAATAAGTGACGGTCACATAAACACTACCCTATACCGCAACCCTGCTGACCACTATGTCTACCTTCATGCCTCCAGCTTTCATCCCAGACACACAACATGGTCCATTGTCTATAGCCAAGCACTAAGGTACAACCGCATTTGCTCCAACCCCTCAGACAGAGACCAACTCCTACAAGATCTTCACTAAGCATTCTTGAAACCACACGACGAAGTGAGGAAACAGAGCCAGGCATGTGCCCAGAAGCCTCTTTTTACAAGACAAGCCCAAGAAAGAAACCAACAGAACACCACTGGCCATCACCTACAGCAGGGTTGTCCAAACACCATCACAGGACCTAACCAGATCAGCCACATGGTCACTGGTTCATTCTCCTGCACATCTACCAATGTAATATATGCCATCATGTGCCAACAATACCCCGCTACTATATACACATCAGCCAAACTGGACAGTCCCTACGTAAAAGAATAAATGGACACAAATCAAATATTCGGAATGGCAATATACAAAAACTTGTAGGAGAACACTTTAATCTCCCTGGACACACAATTGCAGATCTAAAGGTAGCCATCCTCCAGCAAAAAAACGTCAAGACCAGACTTCAAAGAGAAACCACTGAGCTACAGTTCATCCTCAAGTTTGACACCATCAACTCAGGATTAAACAAAGACTGTGAATGGCTAGCTAACTACAAAAGCAGCTTCTCCTCTGTTGGTATTCACACCTCCAGATCAGCTACTAGAAGTGTGCCTCATCCTCCGTGATTAGATTCGCCTCATTATCTCTAGCCTGATTCTGGCCTGCATATTTATACCTGCCTCTGGAAATTTCTACTACATGCATCTGAAGAAGTGGGTCTTTGCCCACGAAAGCTTATGCTCCAACACTTCTGTTAGTCTATAAGGTGCCACAGGACTCCTCGCCGATTTTTCAGGTATTTTTGTGCTTGCTGCAATCACACATCAAATTATTGTCTAGGCATAAACACTATTCATCTACTCAGAGCTTATCTCCTGGGCAGTCATATCCTGGACTTTATGGGACAGCTGTGGATATGATTACTAGACCTCTCTTAAGGGTGGTACTTTTATACATTATAATAAATATTTCTAAGTTTTTTGGTTATTGTCCATTTTTGAAGCCTGTGGCAGGTACTGAGATTTACAACTAGGTGCATTTCTATAAATGTATTATTAGTGACTGGCCTGCTTAAAACCAGTGTGCATAACCCTCACATTCTTTGATAGGGACAGAATTTATCAGAAATCAGGAGGAACAGGAATTAGGGATGTTAAATTTTGATTAACCAGCTAATCAAGTAGCCGATGGAATTCCTATCGACTACTCAATTAGCCAATAAGAGGTAGGGCGGGGGCACTCACTATCCCGGCTGCACCTTTGCCTTTTAAATGTAGTAAGAGCTGCCCACGGGGAACCTGAGGCGAGCAGGGAGTGTTTGAGCCCCTGCTACACTGCCTCTGCTCACGCCATATCCTACTGCGCCGCTGCCTTCCCTGCCACTTGCAACCCCCTGCGGAGACAGCGCTGGGGAAAACTGGCCAGCTTCTGCTCCACCCCTTGCTGCCTCTATCAGAAAAGGGGGGAAGAGGGGAAGTGACTAGTCAACTCGACTACCCGATAAGCCTATGCTTATCAGGTAGTTGATCAGTTGCTTACATCCCTAACAGGAATCTGCCTCCAAAGCTGTAACTCTGCATCTTTAAACTAGAATTTCAAGAGAATGCTAATGATTACATATTGCTGTTTACTAAGTTTTCCCTCTGTAGGAGTACAAAATTGTTTTATTTAAATCAACAAGAATACTGAGCCACCTATGAAGAAAATCAGAATGTTCAAAGAGACAACTAGTTGAAGACTTACAGGGAATCCTTTAGTAACGGGGACTTCAATATTAAAGATGAGGACACGAGCTCTGAAACGAGTGCATGCTTTGATGGGTTCTTTGAGACCACAAAATACACAGCCAACACTACAAGAAGAAACAAGACAAATATTCTGATATTATATTGGAAAAATGTTAAGCAGTACTTTTTAAGTAACTATTAACTAAAAGAAGTGACACAATAATACGATTTATGTGAAAAGAAATTATCACACAATTAATGCACGAAGTCAAGTGCATTACTACAAGATATAAAAGTTGTTTGTGGGTGAGTGTGGAAAAGTATGGCAAGATCCAAATGGACAAGTACCTCCACTGCTAAAATTCTTCTTAAATTATAATATTTGGTGAGAAGACACACCAAGGAGAATAAATTAGCCTATTACCCAGAGGTCATCTCTCCAGAACAATGGCAAGACATTTTGGGGTGGGCAAATATGCAGTGCTGCTGCCTTTGATTTACCTGTTTTGTGGCTTGAGGGCTACTCTCTCCAACACCATTAAATCTTTTAACTTTCATCAGCAATGTGTTCAAGCACAACAAATAAACCCACTTTCATAATAGAGCTATACTGAAGCTAAGATATGCAACCAGTAGTGTTAAATCCACAAATCATGTTTTTTGTGGATAAAGGAGATAAGGGGAGCATTGCTATGTGTCACTCAGTACTAACCAGACCTACACTAACACAAAAACAGAGAAAGAAAACCAATGCCCTATTCCGTGTGTACATCACTTTGTTATTCATACACAATCACATCAGTTGTACCCTTTCAAACATGACCACAGAAAGAACTTAGATCAAGGTGTCTGAGCAACCCAGCCATGCCCCCGGAATTGAACAGAACACCAACAATTTCAATAGACCTGAAACGTAAGGACTTTTACTTTTCAAAAATTTACATCACCCAAGACAAACAACCTACAGAACGTGGACAGCACAACTTCCAAACGAACTTCATTTGACAACAGCAGAAGAGACTGTCAAGGAATACAACTGCTGCAGCGAAGGAAATCAAAATAACTGTCTTTTTCCTTAGCAAAGGAAAGTATACATTTGCACAAATATTGAAGCAAGTAGTATTTGGGCAGCCAGCTTGAAAGAGCCTTATGAGTTTGGCAGTTCGACTCAGAGCAGAAAAGAAGCCACATGAATTCCAAACATGTTACATGAATAGCAATTAACAAATAACCAAAACACATTGCAGCAGCTGTGACAAACGTATTGTTAGAAATGAGTAGGCTGCAATATGCTTTCATAAATCATTAATATTAATCAATTTATTTAAAAATTATATCTGTTTCTTTAAATTTTTGGGAAACAGAATGAGGGGCTAAATTTATTGAATTAATTGTTCACTACCAATAGTTTGACCATACAGTTTAGACATGCTTTTGTCTGGATGATTTAGAGTATGGTGAAGTCTTGATAAGCCTTTTATATTATCTAAATTCTGAATATATTATTATATATAGCTCCATTTGGCAATTCAAGACTTATATTTTGCAATTCCAAGAATGAGAAGCGTAAGCAAAAGGCTTTTACAATCACTTCTGCCAGCATTAGGGTCAATTAATCATGAACACTAACAGTGTTCTTCTGAGGTTGCCGTTGCACATACAGCAGATGTTTCCAACGTTTGTACATGCAGGCCAGGTGATATGCATCACTTTGGTTTTAAATATCCTGGTAACCAAATCATTCTTCAAGTAAACCGCCGACTATAAAGTGTAGTAGTTACAAGGTTTTTCATTAAAAACAAACCGTTGCTTAGACTGAAACTCAGATTTGCACTCACTTGATTTTGATAATATCCATGCCGGTCAAAGTGAGACTAACGTGATCTCCTGCTGCAGCCCAATCAACTGGTTCATCATGCAGTGTGATTCCTGGAAATGAGTAAGAACAGAACCTCACAGTGAAGTACCTAGGTTCTGTGCTACAAACAAACAGCTCTGTTTGGGCCATTTGTGCTTCATCAACCATTACTCATCAATTTTCAATATGAATGGGCTGAGAGTAAAAGCTTTTGACTAAAAGCACAGAGGAAACAATTTTTTTTTTTAAAGGACTTACCGCTCTCACTCCACCCTATTAATATGGCTTTGTCTATGTCATGGGAGTGGATTCAGCGCTAGTCACACAGCGCAGATGATGCGGTCTTGAAAATATTACTGTGTACTAATACCACAGTGTTTGCCCCACCCATTCTCTGATGCACATGCATACACCGTCCTGCCTTTCATTGTTCCTTACTGGTTCAAATGTCAACTTTCATTTACCGTAAGTTAGTTAGTGCTCTCCCTATCAGAGGAAAAGTGCAACAAATGACTTTGGGTTGAATGTTACCTATTAGAAAGCAATTGGGTAGGTATTCTATTGATTGTGAGAATAGGTATAGACTTATTGGTGAGAATAAAAAATTCATTGGGACTTGTAAATAAGTAATACTGAAGCAAAAAAAAAATGTTAGCCAAAGTTTTGATTTTGTAAATACTGTACATTCACAGATTAGGTCCATTTCACTGCAAATCACAATTTAAACAAGAAACATTTCATATTAATGTATCTCTGCCAGACCCTGGTCATTAGTAGGCGGAATCAAATCTGGGAACTCTGAAGCTTAGTGTAATGAGCCTCTGACGCATGAACTAAAAGCCAGATAGCTATTAGCTAGGGCTGTAGAGTAAACTTGCGATTCTCTCTGTTAAGTGGTCTACGTGCCACTAGATGGGACATTATACTACACCCAGAAGTGTGTGGGTTACGTTAACACATACCAAACTGTATTTCTTAGTTTGCAAATCTGTCTCTCCTGTTCCTTTCCAGCATGGGCATACAGTGTTATTCAAATTCAAGCATGATGCCATGAGGGACTATTTTGTTAAGCAATGTTGATAATTACTTCACCTAAAGGTGGCACTCCCAGACAAGGATAAACAAAGTTCAGACTTTTCTTTTTGTTAGAATTGATTAGCTCAGAGCCATATACAGGTTAACATGCCTCAAGTTTGTACTGAGATACAAGTATGTTATTGTCTCCTCCTTAAATGTAAGTATTTAATAAACAGTTGCTCCAAATCCACAGCTACATTTGAGCCACTATGTGATGCTACAGTGCCAGATGGCTCTTCCCAACATAGGATGGGGAAATACTCAAATGATATAGACCTAACAATTTCTGTGCTACTTCCTCCCCTCCTGCAACAAGCATAGAAAAGTGGTCAGGTCATCCCCACACTTAGCATACTCAGACTGCTGTAAATTTCTGTTCGACTCTTCAGGTGTACTAGTGAACAAGGACAGCAGAATGCACTGTAGAAGTAAAAAGATTAATGCCACCATTGTACATCCTTCCCTTCCTAGATGCTTTGCATGTTCCTCAATGACAATATTAGCTATACCAGACATACATAAACATGTTTTAAAACATTTTTATTTTTCATTTAGTTTAAATATACCTAGCAGTGCATATCTATGCACTTTATTACTGCAAACCTTATGAAGATTTAGTTTCAACATATTGTAGTGTCATGTATTCACTTGTTACATGTAATCAAGAAATATTTGCACCTTAACAGTTTTAAATGTTCTAGCCATTAGTGTGCATATTAATATCGTGCACAAATATTTTGAATTTTTTTTATGACGGCTCAATTGTTCAGTCATTAGCCAGTCATACAAAAATAATAAATTTAGTATCAACTCTTCCATATAACCAAATCAGAAAAATAGGTTTTAATTTCCCTTAGTGGTGAACACTATAAAACTAATAGTTGAAACAAATGGCTATTCAACAACTTTCCTCAGTTATTCAACATTTTATTATCATCAAAAAATAAACTGAAACAAAACTTTTTTTCCAAACACAAACTCATTCTTTCTTCTATTTGCTGATACAGGAGTTAAGAAAATTGTGAAAAAATAAAATTAAATGCTGAAAATGTATGTGGCATATTGAAAGGGGGAAATATGATTTAATATTCTTCTGTTCCTTGAAATTTTTAAGACTGCAGAAATATATTTTCAATTGATAAGCACCTGGGATACAGTTGGACTGATAAGTGCCTCCCATCCCTAACAATGGAATGTCTTCAAGCACAACAGGTATGAAAAACTTCAGAAGGTAAGATTTACCTGCAAGGGCTGTTTAAAACCCACACACAAATAGCAATGCTCTAGGAAGTCTGACTACTAATGATTCTTTGTGTTTCATACATTTTACAGCTAGGAACTGCTGAACTCTTTTCACTGAAAAAAATCATGAGGCTGACACACATGGAATAACTTGCACTATAAAAAAAATGAAAAACCATACACACTTTCACATATCTTTCAAAGACAGATATTTATACCGGCACATCTAAAATTCGTTTATGCTTTCACATTATATGTTTGACAGTTGGTATCAGTTTGACAACCTGTCACCATTTCAGTAACTGTTTCTAGACCAGTATTGACCTGAAAGTAAACAAGCTTTTGAATACTGTACCTTTTGCAGTGCAAGTTTCATTGGGAGGCATAGCTAGAAGTCTATCTCCAGTCTGAATATAGCCTGCTTCTATTTTACCAGTCACACAAAATCCTGATCCTTGATCTGTAATAATCATGTTAAGAATTTGAAATAATAAAACAACTATATAGAAGTGATCCTTGATCTGTAATAATCATGTTAACAATTTGAAATAATAAAACAACTGTATAGAACAACTGTAAGAAGCATTTTTATATAAAGTTAACCCAATAGCAAGATAGATTAATTTTAATGTGAGAACACACATTTTTCTCAGCTAAGTCAGTATTCATTATTTGTAAAGTCAACAGTTTTACATAATAATGAAAACATTAATTCTGAAACCCCTTGATTTGGTATTTTTCTAATCTAAGAGCAGAAACCCAGTTCTTTAAAATTAATATGGTTGCATAAAAATCCAACTTTTAGTTTTTTGATACATTAGATCATTAGCCCATTTGATTTTAAGCACCCCAATATGATTTATAGACAAAAATATTTACTGAGGTATCTTAAGACAACTTCATATACTCAGGCATATTTACTGTCCAATGAACCAGCTCTACTGGCATACTTTATACTCTCCAAAAGTCAATTAAAATTGGTTTGCTATTCAAACTTACAGCAATAGTAGGTGAGTTTAGCATTTGTTATGAATAAAAAAGTATTATATTTACAAAGTACTGTAAAACTCCATTAGTCTGGCATCCAATGCTCCGGCACTCCTGATGGTCCGGCACCATCAGGAACCTGGAAGTGCTGGGGCAGCCGGACAGGCTTCCCCCATTCAGCCACTTCTGAAACTGACCAGCAGTTGAATCCGGGAAGCCGGGAGCAAAGGAGCTGGGGTGCTGCCAGGTTGGTCCTGTAGCGCTGCCCCTCAGGGCTGTGGGACCAACCCAGCAGCACCCCAGCTGCTTTTGGGGACGCCTGGGGCAGAGCAGCTGGAGTGCTGCCGGGTTGGTCCCACAGTGCCGAAGGACGGTGCTACGGGACCAACCCGGCAGGACCTCAGCTGCTCTGCCTCAGGCTTCCTGGAATCAGCCGCTGCTCAGGTTCAGCAGCGGCTGCATCCGGGGCCGCCGGGGGCGAACCGGCGGG